CCGGCGCGGCTTCTTACGGCCGACTCAAGACAGGGTGACCATCCTGTCTGGTCGAAGCACCATGGGTTTTACGGCAAAAACGTGGCAAAAACCAGATCAAGCATTTTGAAGATGGTCGAACGGACTTCCAGGGCATCCCTCAAAATGAAGATCTGTTGTGCTTCAAACTCTGAGCATCGCGAAGTGAGTCCAAAAACCTCAAGGCCAAAAACCTCAAGGAAGGCCCGAGTCAGGTCTACATCTGAGGAGTGGTTGTCCGGTGTCACCGAGCTGTTCGAGGGCTTTCCGGCCTATCCAATGGTCCAAGAATTGACACCTACAAAGTCCAGCAAATGCTGCTATCTCACACTGTGAGAGCTGGATGTCCCATAAATACTGATACAACAGAACATCTGGGCAACCTTAGGCCCTAAACCCTCCTATGTCTTTTCCCGATTTCGGCACCTTCTCGGCACACCGCCCCCCTTGGCTCAGCTCGCCTCCGGCCCCTTGGAGCTCGAGGAACCCATCGCTCTCGAGGCGTCGCCGGGGGTCGATCCGCTCAGTCCGGGTCAGTCCGGGGGTCGATCCGCTCTGCGAGGACGGCGAGCCGTGTTTTTTCGAAGGGGGACTGTGATAGAAGTGATCTGTCAGTGATCTGTGTGAAAGATCTCAAGTCAGAGTTCCAAAAAGCTCTACGTTCTTCAGCGATGCCAACAGGAAACAGCTGCCATGTGATTGGGCCTGTGTCTTTGGGCCAAAGGTGGTGTTTTGCTTTGCACTTCCTTCTCTGCCTTGTCTTCCAAAGCACGTTCCCCCCGTGGGGATCGTACAGAAAAAAGGATCACAAAACAAACATAGGTTTGGAACCCAAAAAATGTCATCAACGGGATATCAGGCGTTACGAAAGGGTCTTTTGGAGTCTTTTGGATTGTCTTTCTTGATGAATAGGTCCACGAATACAGTAGCTGTTCGAAACGAGATAAAAGTCAGATTATATAGCTGGTCGCAGAATCAGCTTTGAATCTGTTGGTCACAGAGGCCGCCAAGGTCCTTTTGCTGGACAGGCTGGTTGCCACCCGCAGTATATGGCCTGGGACTTCCCACCTTTGGGAAAGCTGCCCTTCGCAGCTCCTTTTGAGCTCTGTACGCAAGGTGATGGGTCAAGTCCCAGACTTTCTGCACAGATTCCTAGAGATGTTTCCTCATGGCCACGCCGCGAGGCTGGCCGAAAAAAATACGGCCTAGTTACCTCCGAGAGTTTGACCTGGAAGATGAAACTGCAAGAAAACAGGTTGACTGGTTGCTGATGGTTTCAACTCGCTCGAAACATATTCAGTCAAGGTTGAAAAAAAAGGAACAACTGAAACCCTCTGAAAACAACCACCCAACCGAAACAGGAAGCCCGTCATCAAAAAGGACCAGGGTCGAACTGCCATGGAACCCTTCGTTCTTTCGCCCGAATTTCAGAACTGCCATGGATATCATGAAACTCAAGTCTCTACCAGCACCCTCCAACAGGTCTCCTCTGGTGACTTTTGTAGACTTAAAAGTGTCAGGTGGTGACCTGTTGGAGGGTGCTGGTATATAGTCGCTTGAATACATCGAAGTTCCTGAGGCCGCCGCCTCTTCCCTGGAATCGGGTTTGCTGCTGTGCTGCTGCCGGAACACCTTGCACGTGCGAATCGCGGTTGAAATGGCGCTCGTCTGTCTTACTGACTCCTTTCTTTCACCAAGACCAACTACCACCACACGACGCCCACTCACACCACCCCGCATTGCCACCACGTCCGCAGCTCGCCGGTCCGCTCGTCCCGCCCACTCCGCCTCTGCCGGTTTGTCGGGCCATGAAGTTGGTCAAGACCGCAGGAGTCTTGATGAAGGTGTATCCATACTCCTGTGGGACCACCTGCCACTGCCAAAGGAATCGGGGGAAGAACCGAAGGTTTGGATGGATGGATGGATGGATGGATGGATGGATGGATGGAGGGCGTCCATGGGGTTCCAACTATCCAACTGGACAAGGAGAACCTCAGCCAAGAAGTAGTAGATGTGTCCCGAGGCCAGGCCAAGCAAGTCCATCCAAATATTGCCACCTGAAGGACAATAACACACAACAGTTTCGAAGGTGTGTTCTCATCTCAAAGCTTCTTGTAAAACGTCTTTCGTCGAGGTGCCAATCAAAAGCTGGAAGAACAGCAGCGCGAACGGGAATTGGTAGCCCTGGTGCGGCCAGTCAGATCAGCCAGTCTTCCTACTCAGCCTGTTTGTTTCCTGAATTGATCTCGGCATATGCAATATGTTTAATTATATATAAACCATTGTTAAACAAGTGTCAAACAAGTGTCCAAGTTATCAAGAGGACGGAACATGGAAGTCCGCGGAATTTCTTTGCTCTTTTTTTTCGAGACCTTCGGATCGCAAGCGAAAGAAAGCCTGGATGCTGAAGCTAAAGAACGAAAGCTTGGCATAAGGTTCTCGACCTGAGTTGTTTTCCCATCGATGTCCAAAAGGCTGAACTGTCTTTTTCTCAAAGTCTATTTCATCCAATTAATTAAGGGTTCAACAGGTACCCAGTACCAGTCCAGGCGATCTTTTATGTTTTTTTCAAGGCCCCAAATCACCAGTCCGTGCACAGCCACATCACTGGAATCATTCTAGGATCGAAACTGAATACACCTCGAGCATTTCTAGACGGCCATTTGGTTCACCTCCTTGCTCCATCTTCTTCTTCAGGCAGCTGGAACGTTGCGTGGACCAAAGGGCATCGCTACTAGTAACAAGGACGCGACTAGATCTAGGAGCTCCTGGCCGACAACTCCGAGCGGAGCGTTCGGACGCTACTAGCAGCGGAGAACGACGCTACTCGCCGAGCGGTCGGAGCGTGCTCGACTTCACTCTTTCGACCTCGGGCTCCAGCGACTCCAGTAATAGAGGATCGCAAAGACCAGGGACGGACCCAGAAAGGGAAATCCCGCTGGCCAGGCCAATGCCAGGGAGATCACGTCGAGGAGCTGCCATCGAAATGTTCGAGCGATGGCCAGTCGTGAAAATCGGTTCTCTTTCTTGGGGGAAGGGAGGGGATCAGAGGGGAGGGGAATCTGAAACAGACTTTTCCTTCTTTCTGGGAGTCTCTTTCAGTCTTCACTCCAAAACTCTCCATGACCCGAGTCGAGCCGAAACATGACCTAGCCGTTGACCCTCTGTTTTGATAGGAAGTTTGAACATCTTTGGGGTGGTTGATCCAAACTAGAGGTCACTCAGGTCACTCAGGACCAAGTTGATGAAATCTCTTCAACCATGCGACTTCCAAGCCCTTCAGGACATGCTTCCACATGTGTCTCGGCCCTAGAGTCTCTAGGAGTCTCGCTTCCGAGCAAATCACCCCAACTCCATCCCCTACTCCATCCGGGTCCACCAGGATCTGCAGCAGCAAGAAGAATAAATAGTCTCCAGGCTGAGAAAAAGCCTCCCACATTCACCGCCACATGCGTCACAAAACTGAAGACGACGGAAAACACAAGAAGACACACACCCATGTGACCTCAGATTAGCAGAACATGGCAAAAAGCCGTGGGAAGGAAAAAGGTAGGGTTTACTTAAACATCTGAGGGGCCACTCTGTTTCTTGACTTCTGCAGTCTTCAGCCTTTCGGCCGAGCATCTTCCGTTCCTTTTTTGTGCCAAAAGCATCCTCAAGCCTTTTCTTCCAGCCTGGTTCTGCTCGAGCTTGGAAGAGAATGAGGAAAAAAAATACCTTCGATCTTCTCCAAAGCACTGGACCCCGACCGCGACGGCCGCGGGCACTCAGGCGGGCGCTGTGAGTCAGCGGGCTTCGTGGAATTGGGGGAGAACGCGAGTAAGAAAGGTAAACGCTGGAACAGCTGGGTGTGTATTTTAAAAAGGGAAACCTCCCAACCAATGGGTAGACTGGTCTATTTCCCTTCTTCCAAAGGGGTCGAACTGGGAGGTCTGCTATTTTAATAAGACCCTGAAGTTCAAGGCATCACAAGGCGCACATCTGGAACAAGAACTGGAAGCTAAAGGTTCCGAAGAAGGAGACCGGCGTCAAGAGTCTCCAGACCTGAGCGGATGGATTTGTGTCCAGCTTTGAAAACAATGAAGATTGAATTTATCAGCCATTGTCCTACCCAAAAGCAATCACTTGGCTTCATCTGGTTCAAGACAAACAAAGAGGTTTCAATCCGAACACTTTCACTCGTCCAAACGTCACTAGTCACGTCACGCGAGCAACGCGCGTTCAACCGTTCAACGCACCTGCAGCTTGTTGATGACCATGGGCCAATTCAAGGCGATCAGCATCGGATCCAAGAAGCCCAGCTGCACAAAGACCGTGGTCACGAAGAAGGCCGTCAGCTGGAGGGCGCGCGGTTTACGCGTGAGCGGATAGGCGCTCAAGCGGATGGCCAAAGCGTCCGGGACCCCTCGAACGAGGTCCCACCCGGTGTTGGATTTCGGATGCGGGGGCATCCGCACAGAAGCAAAAGGTGGATAGTTGATGGTTGATCTTCAAAGGATTTGGAGGATGAATTGGCAAAGCAAGGTCCCAAACCGCTCAGAACAGGTTTTGGAACGTGCATGAGGAACAGCAAATCCGAACAACGTTTCAGCCAGATTCGTTTTGTAAGTGCTGACGGCGGGCTGCAATTCTCGTCAGGATAGGCAAATTCTTGTACCTGCGTGCAAACGAAAATGCAACAGGAATAAAATTGTTGTGGAGAGATTCCGAATTGCGCACCATTGTTCTGGAGTATTCTCCATCTCTTCTGATTGGACCTCACCTCGTCCAACAAGCGTTTGATTCATAAGAGTGAAAAAGAACGTGGGAGGATCAAATATATCAAATCTTGATGTGCACAAGTAAGTTCCAGGCAATGCGTAGGCAAGTGGAGTCTAACGTTTTCCCTACCTAATCTTAAACTGTGGGCCAGAAATGCAACTGGTGGGCGAGTTCACAATTGATTGTCCGCCCTGCCCCCCCCCCCCAGTGCCTCTGGAAGCTGAAATGGCTCAGAAGAATCACAACACACATCCCTTTTCATGTGAGCGCTTCACAAGAAGCTCGCAAAGTGTTTGGCGAGTTTTCCACAAGTGTTGCAGCAAGGCCTCAAAGGAGCCAGCCTGCAGCAGGCACTGAACCATGCTTTCAGCGACAGAAGCTTGTTTCAATGCTTCGTGGTCGCGCTCAGCGAAAGCCAAGGAATGTTGCCAGCTACCTTTCGAGATACTTCTCAAGAATGCCGCCGCACCATCCGAGCTGGCATCAGGCTCCAAATTCGCATGTTGAGTCGAGGCTAACACATTGATGGCAACCTGATGGGGGCAAGAATTGCATGCCATGTCAACGAGAAGGCAACTGCTATCCTTCCTCTTCAAAACTGGTCGCGTATTCGAAGTCTTTATCGAGGGGAAAAGCATTGGTCAGCATGCCCATCAGCACACCTCCCATAAAGTGCAAGAGCCCAGCAGTGTGCTGGTAATCGCACCAGACAAACCCTTCCAAGCTGAAATGGTGGCGGCGGCTTGCAACAAAGATGATTCCCAAAAAGAGCCAAATGCCAAGGCTGAAACACCTGCGCTCCACGCAATGCCATCAAGAAGAACACCGCGCTCACGCGTTGCATGCAGAAACCCCACAGCAGATGCCCATTGCTTGGCAAGAGTTGCGGCAGAAACCAAGGAACAGCCGGTCACAACCTTCAAGGCCAAATCACCATCTTCAACACAAGTCACATCGTGAACAATTCAGCTGCAGAGTAGATGACACAAATTGCAAGATGTTCACATGAGACTCAACATAAACCATCTTTGGCGGATTGCGCCAAATCCGGACCCCTTCCAACCAAATGGGCCCCTCTTTTTAGGCCTTCCCTCCGCCCAAAAAAACCACCTCCGGTCGGTGAGCCCAAACAACCCCCAAAAAAAACAAACAAAACTCAGCCGAGCAGCATCAAATCCGATGCTGACCTGCTGCAAGGCCCGGTCCCAAGGGCGAGAAGACGCCGGTACCGCACGTCCCGCACGTCCCGCTCCAGCGGCAGAACCGGGTCCACTGGGTCCACCTTCACTTCGACCTCCCAGCAGCGCATTCTGGGTGATGAGATGGGCCTGAAGCCTCCTCCGAGCCAACTGAGAAGCCAAAGAACTGGCACTTTCCCAGCGGCTCGCCCTCGTGAAGCCGGAGATCACAGACGTCCATCCGTAGACATCCGCCTCCCCAAGGAGTAAGCCAGGGAGGGAGGTCATGCGCCCCACTGACATGGAACCAGCGTGGCATCATGTGATTGGATGGTGTTTTGAAGGAACGACCGTCCAACGGGGTGATCCAGCATGTTCGGCTTGTGTTTGATTCGTGTGATCTCTTTGATATATATATATATATATATTGATAATATATTGTTTGAGTTCTATTTTGCATGATACTCATGCAACCTTCTTTTTTGATAATATCTACACCTATGTTTTGCTATTTTTGCGGTTGGTACGTTGCTCGTGTCCTTGATCTCGGAACCCTCCAAGAGGGACCCTCCGCTTCTCCAACTGGAAGCTGCCGCGGCTCCAAGTGCCATGTTGATCCTCATCATGCTGCCTAGGAGGGAAGAAACGAGTTTGGGCAAACTTGGCATCCACACGCAACGAAACATGCTGAGGTTCCTGGCCAGAGAGGCCACACCCCCTGGCCTTCCAAAGCCAAAACACTGCCTGGCGCTCTCGCTGCGCGGACGCACCTAACGAGGTTCCGAGTTCTAGACCAAGGATGGCAGGAGGGCGCGACCAAATCTCAGAGTCGAACCCGGTGTTTCCATGGTTTTTGCAGTAAGTTTTACAAAAAGCAGTCACTAAGGGGTGGTGTTTAGTCCCTAAGTGAGTGGATAAGCTTTCCTTAACTCCACCTAGCCACTCAGGAACCACGCCTCCTTCCAAGAATGAGCTCCAAGTGCCCCAGTGGCGGCGTCGAAAGTGGTGTCAAGTAGTCGCAGTCTCTTGGAAGAAATCTGATCAAAGAAACGGCATGCGTGAATACAATAGTGGAACCTGGACATACGTCTAGTCACGTCTTTGGCAGACCACTTCGAAAGGAATATCAAGAAGGTCCAGATATGTCCAGATTCAGAACACCGCACCTCTCTGGAGCTGCTATGCTGCCGATTTATTCAACGAACTATGTTGCTGTGGCATGCCTCCTGAAGGAATGCCGCCGCAAGCCGCCAAAAGCGCGTGCGTTGAAAGCATGAGACCGCTGCATTGGCCATGATCACCTCAAGATCGGATATAATGGCGCGTCGTGCTTTCTTGGATTGGACAATGGCATACAATTTTCTAGGCATGGATTCAGTTGTTATACTGTAGATCTGGAGCCTGTTGCTTGTGCCCTCTTGTGCCGCATCGATCCCCACGCCGACCCACGACTCAGAGGGATGCCTTGATGTCTCCATCTTGAAGTCAAGAAGCATTTCGCTGAAGACCACACTGAGGGATGTAGCTGAAGACATTGAGCACATCCCGCCAAGCCAAGCCCTTTCCTTCGCTTCACTCCAGAGCGTTCCGGCTTCTGAAGCGGGTAAAATGCTGGACGGATGCGGAGACGAGCAGGAAAATGGGAACGAGCACCTTTTTCGGACCCTCTGATCGAAAGAGCGAAGAAACCGAAAAAGTATAAAAAAGAGTCGGTCAAAGCAGCTGAGGTTCCACAAGAATCCAGTGCAGCACTACACAAGACGGCATCAAATGCACCAGCATCTCGTGCCAAATCCAGCACCCTCAAGGCAAAGACCTGCGGCTGAATGAGGTCACGGGCTGCAGGATTCCTACCAGTGTTGAGTTGCTACTCTCCTTCGCTGTTCGCCCCCATTTCCAAGTGGCGAACGGTTCTCCACAAGCGACTCCAGTTCGACTCATTGACTGGTGCCTATGATTTAAGGACGTCCGGTGGTCTCGGACAAAGCAGAAATCCTAAGACTCCAGGCCATGGGTGTAACATCTGACCCGACCCCAGTAGAACACTGGTCATCCCCATGCAGCGCTTGAGGGTCCGGCCCAGCTGTTGCTCGCAGAGCAGGACTTGATGCCCAAGGTCGCAGCCGGCTCATCCAGCTGCAAGCCATGATGCTTCAGGTCAGCGAAAAGCCGACGGAAGGCCAAACGCCAGCGACCGGCTCTCACATCACTGGAGGCCTTCTGGCTCAAAGCTACCAGGCTCATGCAAGAACCTGGTGGGAAAACGGCGGCGACCGGGAAAGTCGACTCTAGGTCACCACTGTGGGTCACCACTGTGGGTCACCACTGTGGGTCACGTGGCGAAAGCGGGACAAGGACCAAGGATTGGGTGGTGCAGGTGTTTGAACAGGGGGGCCCCCAAAAAACATTGCAGCCAGGGGGCCACAGGCTGTGGCCTCCCTATCAAGATACAAACCCATTTGGACATGTTTCTGGACAATCGCTTCAGCGGACTCTTTTCCGTCATGGCCCCACGCACCGTTTCGTGCTTGCACGGTCAGACGGTCAGCCCTGCTGGCTGCCAAAACGAAAGCAAAAAGGCAGGGATGCCCCCTTTACAAGGATATGAGACCACTGTCCTGACAAACAAACTGCCAAGGATACTTCAAGTGCAAAGACGATCAGGAAAAGCCCAACAGAGCCCAATGTCTGGCAGAAACACTCCAGTCCTCGAGACCATCGAATTCATGTTCTACCTCCGGCTCTGTGACACCATAAAATGATGGACCCTTAGCTGCATGGTCAGTGGTTTCTCACGGGGTGCCGTGTTCCAATCTTGGACACCTGTCGACGGTTGGACAGTGCGCATGACAGGCCATTTCCTGGGCCCCTGGCTTTGGTCAAAATCTTCGTGTGTGCTGCCTCGAAGGCGCGCAAAAGCCGTCACCCCATGTATTGGCGCGTTTTTCAACATTCCACCCTCCCGGCTACCGGAACAGGGAACCGGCCACCATTCGGTTCCCCGCCTTGGCGGCACTCCCCAAGGCTTCAAAGCTCGTGGACGACGACATCGTCTTCGGCGTCAAGATGGCCTTGAAGAACTGCGCGCGGGGGCGCGCATCCTGCGAGGTCCCGAGCGGAAACCAGCGCAAATCCGAACGAGCTGAAACCGGTGAAAATGAAGGTTCGGTGGGGGGGGGGCTAGGCCGCTAGGCCTATCCTGATAGACTCTGATAGACCCTAAACATGTGACCGCCTTGCCTGTGGGAACTTCTTGAACTTCACCCGGACTTTGCGCTCCGGCAGCTGCGCTGCCTCCTTGGACATGAAGTTCCAAATGAAAGCCAACAAGTCGCGCTCATTGTCTCGGAACTCCTGCAGAATCCCTTGGCACATCATGGGCAAAGTGGCCCTCTCAGGAACCGTGTCACGAAGCTGCACCTCCACGAAAGTACTCACAAATTGATGTGCCATGCAATCGAGTTCTTGCTCCAAGTTCTCTGGAGTCAACACTGGAATCGCAGAGAGGCAGCTCAGCGTGCCACGGTTCAAGGTCAAGACCACTCTCAAGTCTTGCTTCGGCAAGATCCAACTTTCTGGGGAGATGCCCAGGTACAGGCAAGCTTGGACCTTTCCACTCGCCCACGGAACTTTCGGGAGCTGCATCTTTGGTAAGCAAAGAGGTCCCAACGTATCACTTTGCCCCACCGCTTCATCCAAACGGCTCACTGGAGAGTCTGGTCCATCGTCACCGTTCACGCGAGGCACGGGTCTCGACGCATGGGGCAGCTTTCCCCAACAGAGTCCAAAGACTCCCATCAACTGCCTGGCGCGTGCGCGCGCCTGGCGCGCCGCCTGCGGGTCACTGCGAGGCACGTGCAAAATCACGGTCTCGATCTCTCGCAGGCTCATCGGCCTGAAAGCGCCAGGAGCTGTGGCGTTTTGGAGCGGCGGCGGGATGGGTTTGGGGGTTTTGTGGTTTGGAGAATTTGGAGGTCTTCGCGGGGCGCGAACTGCGGGCTGTTGGGGTTCTGGTCTAGGGTCTAGGCTCTAGACAGCCTGTGTGCTCCCTGTCCGAGTGTTTCGCGGCGACCGTTCAATGATGCGATCCAGTCGCAGGTTGGGGAGTCCAAAGGGTCCTTCAAAGGGTCCTTCAAAGCTTTTCTCCGTCTACAAGATGATGTTCTTCCACCTGGTGGATGCTTTGCTATCTTGAGGGAGCACCATTTTGTGGCAGAGATCATCTTCCAGTCTGGCAAGGGGTTCTACCAAGCCTTGGCCCAGAACCAGGACAACCGCCGTTAATGCAACGGCAGACCCCCTGGTCAAACCACCCATCCCCTGGTCAGCGGCCTTGACCCAATCAAATAGCTGACTCGATTGCGAAAGTTGCTCATCTCAGATTTTGTCTGCGGAGCACCAAAAATCAGAAATCCATGCAAGAGAAGACAATGATATATATTGACCTCAGCGGGTACCCACTCTCTGACGGGGTTGAAGGAGCGCCAGCTGTGTTTGTGCGCCAACAACTGAGGCAAAGGACCCAAAAGGCCAATTGCTCAGCTTCACTCCATGAGGCAAATTGAATAGCCTGCAGGTAGACAGCAGCATCTGCTGTGGAAGTGAAAATGAAGAGGAAAAAAGCATGCAGCATGCTGCAAAACCCAGCTGTGGAAGTCTGGCACGGCACGTGGTGCATTTGGATCTGTCACAGGGTGCATTACAGCACCCTTAGCAAGATAGGGAGGGAGGAAGAAAGAGAGAGAGAGAGAGAGAGACACTACCAGCTTCCTCTGTCCGAGGCACCTTCAGCAAGCAAGTGGCATCAAGGAACGAAGCTACATCTCCAGCTGCTGGCACATCACCCAGGGAAAGAGCTGTTTCGAGAAGAACTTGAGCAATGTCCGACTCAAAGGCCTGCGACACATGTCTGCTGCGACACGTGGATGCAAAAAAGAATGCAGGACATACATGACGACATGTCTCTGCCCGGTGCCTTGTCAATGTGGGGGGGGTCACCTGTCTGGAAAACGTGAGACATCATGTCGGGCCTGCTTCGGTGCACTGGTGAGAATCCGGTCGTTCAGCACCAAGCGTCTTCGATGTCCCCAGCGGCGTGCGCGAGTAGAGTCCATCAAGAGAATGGCCTCCTTGGATGGCACCCTTTGGCCACTGGCGATGGCGCGCAAGGAGGCCTTGGATCGACTGGCGATGGCGCAAGTGGCATGGGTGAGGGAGGGCGGAAAAGAATTGGGATGGTGACACCCATCACGGAAATGGGCGAGGGGAAATGAAGTGATAACCTCTTCAAAGGCCCGCATCGAAAAATCCTCCCTCTGGGGACCTAGCACAGGTCCAAGGGAAGGGAAAGGAAAACATCACCCGAGGCCCTGCAGTGTGCAGCCAGAATGCCATCCCCTTAGACGCTCCACCGGCCACTTTGACCGCGGCCTTCTTAGCAATGGACCCAAAGACGTCTGCAGGTGTCGACCTGGTGGCGCCAAACTGGCAAAGGCGATGTGAAGGAATTGTTCCATCCAGTTGACCTGGCCTTTCTACTACCTTCCGGTCAACTGGAGGAAAGTCAAGCAGACGTCTTGAATGGAAGCCTAGGGCCTGAATGACTTCTACCTCTAAGTTGACCTGGCCTTTCTACTAGGGCCTTTCTGGCCTTTCTGCACCACAGTCATTTTTGGAAATGCTCTCCCACAAGAATCGGAGGCGGGATGTGGCTGGCAGAGAGGACCACACCCGGGCCATTCTACGATCCACGGAAAACACCACGACGGAGGTGGATCTCTGTTTTTCCTGAAAACGTGAAGTGTTCATGGTGGCCATCGACTCATCGAATGTCGGCTCTGGATTATATATCCACCCAGTTTGGGGGTTCGTAAAACCTCTTCATATCTTCTATTTTGCTATTGATCAAGAGTCTACATTCCTCCTTCCTCATTCCTCTCCGCCTGGAGGACTTCCATGTGGCCGGCGTCTTTGGGGTCATGGGCTCCCGGGGGGAGTCGATCTGCTGCTTCGTCTCCGCGGGAGTCAGGAGCTGGCTGGAGTCATGAAACTGGGACATCACTTGCTGCAGATTGGAGATCCACAACTCCCGATCCGCGCCATCCGCGCAGCAGAACACAAAGACTCGCAGCACCGTGTGCACCTGGCTTTGGGGACGGAATCTCAGGTGTGATGGAAGAAGTACGCAAAGCTTTTGGAGGCCGGTCTGTGCCACAGCGGGGTGCGGCTTGTGTTAGTGGGCTGGTGAGATAAAAAGTCTGACTGAAGGAGTGATGAAACAAAAGTATCCAATCTTACTTTTATATAAGAAAGCTCTGTCACTCTTTTCAGCCAGCTTGTGGCGGTGGTGGGTCGACTTGAGCAGCCGGCGAAACATTCAGTCGCTCTCTTACCAACCAAGAAAGCTCTGTCACTCTTTTCAGCCAGCTTGTGAGGTGCTGTGTGCTGTAGTGGCCATTTTGGCCTGGTCTTTCAACCCATTTGCCCCTTCTGCCCAGTCGTGAAGACCTCGGTGGCCTGCTTCTTGAACAACAAGTTCCACGCCGTCTCTGGGAATCTGGCTTCTGAGAACCTGACACTGTCGGCCAGGACTTGTGGGAACACCTCCATGGCTGTTAGGATTCGAGCACGGACTTCGGGTGCAATGTCTGTCATGAAGGTCGATGCAGCGACCTCCTGGAGGTATATGTCCATCACCTTCAGTGATATCCAACGCCCGCGGCGTCGGACCATTTCAGCCGACTCCGTGATGCCAATGAGGTAGGTGGCACCCCCTGGCCGAAAAGATGCCAGTGTCAGTGGCTTCTGCTTGTTCACCATCTTAGTCGGTAGGCCGAGCTTGGCCAAAACTTTGTCAAGTCGGTGCCTCAGGGTTGAGGGCGAACAAGGCCAGATGTGCTCGTGAGGCTTGAGCCTTCCGATCCCAATCCATGCCACTGCAATGAGGTCGGGAGGCTCCAATTTACTTGATTGGTGGCGAGCAGCCCTGAACCTCGTCTTGGGTTCAAGGATCTTCAAAAGCACATGGTCGATTGACCAACGGACGTCATGAGGGAAAATAACGTCCTTCCGCTTTGCGTTAAGCAGCTCTCCACTTCTAAGCAGCATTCCCCAACACATTGCGAAGATTGCTGCTTCTCTTGTCCATCCCCATACCAGGCATGTTGCCAAAACTGCCAGGAGCACTTGGACCGGCATGGCCCTGTGGTGCTCAACCGGCTCGAAGGATGTCCACATGGCACAGAGATCCCATGCCTGCTGCAAAGACCTCCGCAGAATTGGGCGCTTAGCACTGATCAAATTGATCGTTTCCGAGAGGTGGTAGTATGGCTTCCCTGATGAGAAAAGGTGCCGCCCGTACTTCGTGAGCACCTGGTTAGCCCTGTCTAAGTCCGGAGGGTTGCTGAGGAAAATTTCATCAAAACAAAGTCCTTCATTCCTCAGCCACGCATTCAATGCAGCTGCTAGGCCACTGCGAACCGAAGAGGTCAGCTCGGTAACCCGCCGACCATCAGGCAGCTCCAGGCCTTCTCGTAGCTTCTTCCGGTGCTCATCTCCATGGCGCGCGCCCGTCGCCCGACCTAGGTCTGTGCTAGCTAGGAGCAAAAGAAGTCCAAGTAAAGAACAACTGGTAGGGCCTTCTCCCGGAAATCCAAGAGTGGCATCAAAGTCCAAAGCAACGGGTGGCTCAAAGTCCAAGAGAGGGCCATACCGCCTGAAGCAGGAGCGGTCGGTAAAGAAGGAAATCCAGGAGGGACAGAGCATGAGGCTCAATCGCAGCCAATTCGAGGTCCACCTCCGCATACTAGAGAGTGAGGCCAGCCATCTCCACTTCTCTTCGTCAAGCTCTAGGAAGCTAGGCTTCAAAGCAACAGGAATCTCCGTATCCCTAGTTGGGTGATCAGCAGGGTTCATTCTCGTAGGTGCGAACCTCCCTGCTTGATACAGACCATAGGCCAGCGAAATGGAGCTGGCTCTTTTCAGGAGATGTCGAAGGGCTCCAGAGGCACTTCTCCCTCTTGTGAGTGCACAGAGAGCAACATGGGAGTCAATCATGCTGACAAAGCGAAGGTCGCCCCCCTTCAATGCTTCTGCCTCATAGGCTCTCAGAGCAGCTGCTGTCTCCAGGATGTTGATGTGTGAGGAGCCTTTCCATCCCCAACTTGCATAAACCTCCCAGTCGCAAGAAAGAAGAACCTCATTCGTCATCACATCCTCCAGCCCTTGGTTTCTCTCTGATGCCTCCTCCGCCTCCTTTCGCCAGTGCACATGCCTCGCAAAAGTCTGGGCTAATGCAGTAGCCAGGCCAGCACAATAAGTAGCACTGGGCTTCGTGAACTTTCCCTCAATCCTGATGTGTGTATGGTTCTTGGAGCATTTCCTTGCCAGAGACTGGGCTCGCATGCTGACTGTGAGGAGTGCAAACTCCTTTTGATGAGGAGACCCATACTCACAGGATGCGAGGTGAACTTCATCAGCTCCTAGAACTCTAAGCCTCTTCCACTGCGGTGTCCACCTTAACTTGGATCGCCTTGGGGTCTCCATCATCCCAGGGGTCTTGGTGCGCTTTCCCACCAGCAGCAGGCCCATGCAAGAAAAGGCCATCTTGTTCCCATGAACGACCCGTGGATGCTTTGGATCAATGCCCAGGGGCTGCCGATAGGTGCGAAGACACGGATGAGCCGCAGGGCTGAATGTAGTGCAAGGCGGGGCAGCCAGGAATGACAAGAGCCTGCCTTCTTCACACATAAAAGCGACCCAAGAGAAAACCTTTCTGTCAGTAATGTCATACCTCCTCGAATAGCTCAGATCAAAGACCGGGCCACATGTCAAACCAAGGCGGCAAGCCTCCTTTGTCACAACACCAGCGCCTCCACAAAGTTCGATAAAATCGAAACATAGGCCGACTGGCCTGTCAATCTCCTCATTCTGCCACAGCCGCTCCTCATCGTGGTCTACCTCCTCAAAAGATTCATCGTGGATTCGATGTAAGGCGGCAGTTCGGCTTTGTAGCCGTGGGTTCTTTGCTCTCCTTGATGCAGTCCTCCACAAAGTCCGTGACAAGGCCTCACTCACCTCAGTGGTCACCAAGCCCCCCTTTCTCGTAGAGGCATCAGAAGCATAGACTGTCTGTGAGAAGGGAGCTGCAATGTTGGAAGCTGCCAAGGGCCCTAGACATGCCAGGACCAGTAGCTCCTCTGCTGCCCGACGGGGCAGGGGTCTCAGCTTGGGGTCTCGCGGTGATAGTTCGGCTGCTTCGATGACATGGAAGAGATGGTTGATGTGAGCCATCATAGGTCTCCGGTACAGGAGAGCTGAGATCCATGAGCCCATCAAAGATGCGTGAGCTCCATCTGAGGTGTAGGGAAGGTTAGCCACATTTGCGCTGAGCATCATCAGGCCAAACCGTTTTGCAGGAGGGGCACCCAGAGATACAAGTCCTTTCTTGACCACATCAACCGAGGAGTTCACTTCTGCTCCAATGATCTTGAAGTGGAGGCTGTTGGACACTTCTTTGTCATCTGAACCAAGGATGCCACTGGTGGCATACGCATCCTTAGCTTGGATCAGCGTCCTGCTGGAGGCGCTATCAGTGAGGTAGGTCTTTCCAGAAGCTTGCTGTATGGGCTCTGCAAACAGCGAGAAGAAGTCGTCAATGACCAGGCCCGAGACTGGCTTATTGTGTAGGATCGTCTGATTGTTGCAGAGACGATTCCACCAAGGATGGCAGCCAGTCTCTTCCAGCAAGGTAGAATGGGCACAGCATGCTATTTCGACTCCCAGATGGTCACCCTGGAAGAGGGCCCCAAAAGCAGCGAAAACCGAGGTGGATTCATCACAATCAACCAGAAGGGGCTTTGGCATGCCCAAAAAGTCTCCAGCTTCTTCCCTGCCACTTCGGCCTCTCTTTCCACTGAAATCCTCCACAAACCTCTCATAGGCCCTCGTCCCTTTGAAGTCCACGAGCTTGAAGGGAGGATAGACCGTGTTTGTGGCAGTACGCTCATAGGTAGTGGCAAATTGATGGTAAAAGTCCCTTCTGTCTGCAATGGAGCCCACAAGGACTTCTGAGAACCTCTTGACCTCCAGCTGAAGCAGTGTGGTGGCATTTGGGATCTCATGCGAAGGCCCTCCACTGATTCTGCCTTCGACATAATTCCTTCCACGACGGTCGCCTATCTGCCTGTCGGTGGTGTGGTTCTTGTAATTGCCAAAAACCCGTGTGTGAAGAAACAGCTCTTCAGGCGAAGGTCCCATCGAGGAGGGGATCAGGTAGAGCAGGTTGTTAACATCCCACAGACGACATAGTTGGAAGATCTGCTCATAATCTCCCTCTCGAACATCTGGGAAACTCCCCGCTGGCGGGCGTACATGAAAGCGATTGACCTCAGGCTCAATGAATGGCATGTATAGAAGGTCTGACAACAGCTCATCACATCTCCAGTTGCCACTTCCTGTGAGTCTAATCCTTGCTGCATCAAGGGGCCGATACGGCCTCAACTCCTCACAGACCGTGTTATCTTCTGGAACATGGTGTCCTGCATCAGAGTGATGATAGAGGGAGGTCGGTTGCAAGCCCAGAGAATCCAAAGCATTCGAGAGCTCCCTCATCCTTGCATCTAATTGAAAACTTTTTCGTCCACATCCGGCTAGAGACACTGTCACCGGAGGGCCGCACGCCTTGAGAAACGCTCCAATACGAGCATAGACTGCTCGATGCTTGGCAGAGGGGCGTCTCCGGATGAGCTGCAAAATGGACATAGGATTCCGGAAGTGCTCATAAGTCAGGGTCATCACAATCATGTGCATCAACTTCTTGAATGCCCTGCAGCGCCGCTTCCTTTGACTGCTCAAATCCGGGCCATCCCATACTATATCCACAAAGGGCATGGGAATGGGAAACAAGGCGGTAGTGACGCTGTCAGTACGACCGTCACGGCTGGCTGAAAGTGTCCTCATCATGAAATAAGAAAACTTAGTCTTGGAGGACAGGACCTGGCGAAGGAACTGATGTATCCAGCTTTGAAATGGGACTGGTGTCATCGTCGCCAGGATATTCTCCTGCCCTTGACCACTTGCATCTAATTTGTCTTTGCCCTCACCCACCTTCACACAACGTGACTTTCTGCCAAGCTCCAATGCAGCAGGATCCGGGGGGTGAGCGCCGTCTTCTTCAATTTCATCCTCCCTTGGCATGCGGCCCTGTACTTCAAAAGGCATACCATCATAATCTCTCCAAGAGCTCTCCCGCTCTTTCATAGATGTCGCGACCACCTGAACCTCCTTTGAAGCAGCCCTGTCATCCTCCTTTCCCCTCCCCGAGTGTCTCCGACCGTTGTAAGCAGAGGACTGCTCTGAGGTAGAAGAACTCGGCAAGAGATCACTGGGGGAGGTACCAGGAGGGCATTGGTGGGCTAGGAGGCAGCATGGTCCTGGTTTGAGGCAGACTTTGCCTTGGGGAACCTGCCTTTCTTCTTGATGGGAGGATTCCCTGAAGCCTGGTTGCCCTGATTTCCAGCCTTTGGATGGGTCACTTCCTGCCTCTTCGTCTGAATATAGTCCATTTCTTTGGAGTAAGCCAAGGCAACAGTGGTCCATTGTTGAGGTGCCAACGCCGAGAAGCTCTTGGACCGCGGATCGAAACTCTGGCTCCTGTACCCCCATAGCTGAGAGGGCGGTTCCTCCAACAACATCATCCTGTAGGCAAGTTCCCATCGATTGCCGTCCAGATTTGCCTGGTCCACTCCTACCATCAACAGGGCAAGATAGTCCCGAGCTCCATTCAGGTCCGAATGGACAAGCGCATCGCAAATGTGCGCAAGAGCATACTGGATCAACCCCAGTTCTTTGTATTGCCCGTAGCCGCCAAAGCGTTCTAGGTAGTGAATCATGGAAAAATCTGTTGCTGCAATCTCCTCGATCGTGCTGGGCTTTGGGCTGGCCGGCTTCAATCTCTTTGCAGCATTTTGCAGGACAGCAAGATAGAAATTCCCTGATTTCTGAGCTAACTCTCTTTGCAGCTTTTCTCTGCCAACCGATCCTCTGGTGCCTAATGAGCCGCTCGATGATGATGGCTGCCCGTCGAGAAGTGGATCTCCGCCCTGTTGCATATGCGCAACCAAAGTCATCAAGGCTTTGCTCTGCTCCAACATAGCCTTTGCAAAGGGATCCGCATGAGCTGCTGGACTGGACTCTTCCGCAAAAGCCTGAGGTGGCACGTTTCCATCGAGCCCAGAAGTAAGCGTAGCTTGACCCGTCCCAAGATGAGGAAGGGGCCGGGTCTTCGGAGGCTGCCCCATCATCTTTGCAAAACCTGACACACCTTGAACTGCGGCAGACACCGGCAGCTGACTGGCCCGTGGGGGAGGTGTCACCTTCTGCTGCTCCAAGGACTCTTGAAGGGCTACCTGACCTTTTTGAAGCTCGGAGATTTGATCCACCATAGAGGGGATAATGTCCATTAGCCCGGAGAGTTGCTCCGAGAGAACAGCAGTCGTCACCCGTTTCTTTGGAGGATCCTTCGGCGGGTCCTTTGGCCGGCCTGTAGCTGCACTTCTGGTTGGACTGATCCCTCTGGCAGTCAGCTCCTCTCGAGATGGGAGAGGTACCGCCTGAACAGGCTCCTCCACGAACTCTGCCCCTTCTTCCGCGGAGTAATAGGCCACTCTCTGCCCTGCTTGATCTGCGATCCAAAGCCTGATAGCATCTACCAATGCATGAGGGTCCGGAATGATGTCGAGGTCCTCTCCAAACCCAATCAGGCCTTGGTCTTCGGACTCCGGAACCCAGGACAAGGGAGTGATGGCCTGCAAGGCTTCTTGTCCAAGATCTACCACATGAAGCGCGATGTCCACTCCAATGTGGTCCAAACCTGCATCTGACATTCGAACTCCAGGAACTTCTAGCTGTACGTGAGGTCCCACAATATCCCCTTCTCGGGGATCCAACGGCAAAGAACCAGCAGGGACCAGGGCTGTAGGCATTGCAACTAGCACCCCTCCTCCTGCTGCCTGTCTCACCATGGCTATCATGCACAAACCTGGCCGTGACTGAACCATGTTGGGGTCCGGTGGCCAAAAGACTCTGAACAACTCCACATTCTCCTCCACCAAAGGAACTACTGCACTTAGCTCCATTGGTATACCTTCTCAGGGTATGGGATGTTGAGCCCAAGGCAGTACACCTTTGCTTCAGCCTTGGATGCAAATCCGTGGGACAAGCTGCCAGCCTCCGTGAAATCCCCCAACAATGCCCTGTAGTCCGCTGCCTTCTCAACACGGACAGGCTCTGTGATGCCCTTGGCACGAACCACCACGTACGTTGTGTTTGCCACGTCGCACGGAGATGAGGGGCGAGGTTTGGAGATCCTGCCCTCAAGAACAAATCTGGCCCACACTCCCGCAGACCAGGCGCGCTCAGCGCGTTGCTTGAAGGATAGTTTGCCCCCCCCGCAAGTTGCCGCAAAGGCGAAGAGCCTCAGAAGGCAACTCAGGCACTTCCAAAGCCAGGGCGTTGTAGGCCGACGAGTTGGATGAGGTCCTTGACGATCCAGGGCCTTGGCAGGCAGAGTTGACCAACTCAAAATCCTCGAAGGTGCCGTGATTGCCACCCTTCTCAAGTTCAATCACCTTCTTCTCCAAGATATCAACACGTATCAGCAGCTGTTGGACCTGAAGCTTGAGGAGGTCAACAGTGCTATCGCTCATATAAGTAGGCTCGGATCCGGTCGGACCCAGAGGGAGTACCAGGAGCTGGCCTGGCAGGTGGAGAGCTCGTGCCTGAGCTCAGAAGGAGATGGAGAAGGCCAAATCGAAAGGCCACCAGGAGGACAAGGCCGATGCCAAGAAAGAGCCCGAAGCCAAGGCCCGAAGCAAAAGCCAGGACGAGGCTCGTGAGAGAAGGAGGCCCGCAATGTGCAGGGCAGGCCAAACCCCACCAGTTGCTCTGAACTCCTAGCTTGACAAAATCGAGCACAGACCCTAGAGAAAACGGCGCGGGCATCGACTTGAGCAGCCGGCGAAACATTCAGTCGCTCTCTTACCAACCACTGTTATGATCTTTTGTGTATGTCAGCCTGGCTGTAAAGCCCTGAAAAGTCATCCTTGACATGTGAACACCATCGCGCCTGCCACAGCAGGAAGCGTCCCAGAAAAAGACCTGGCACCGAATCGACCTGCTGAATCTCCGACACATGCACACTCACCCGGGGCTTTTCACAGTCGTAGGGCGTGAAGCATCTGAGGATTCCATCGGAGGAGAGTCGCAAGAGCTCCTCGCAAAGCCTTCCTTCAAAGTGAACGGCACCCACCAGGGCCTCAGGCAGAACGCAAATCTCATACATCGCCAACTGCTGAGAAAAAAAACGACATACCATGTCCTAGTTCACTGGTTCTGGAACAAACTCCGCGGCCAGGCACCTCTTGGACAATCTTCCCGCGGCCCTGCCGCGCGTGTGCGAAGGCCAAAGCGCAAATCACACTGTCAGACGCCATGAAGAAGCGTGGGGCGATGGACGGCCAGCGACGCCGTCGTAGACCCATGGCGCCTTTTCGAACCTGGAAGCAGGGAGAAGGATTGTATTTGACGAATAGCTTCGTATGAGGTGTCAGCCATACAACCGTCAAGAATGGGTATGGCCCAACCCTTCAGATTGAAATCTCTGGGCATTGTATGGAACGACAGTTCTGTAGAGCATGCGGGAGCCCCCTTTGAAACAAGTATCCTGACAACATACAGGAAATGTGACACTTAGGACATGAAAGTCACGACCATGGTCACCACGACGCTACACCAACACACACTCTGCTATACCATGCTGAGAAGGACAAAAACGTCGGTTTTGTTTCTGCAGCCTCCTGCTCCACTACATACCATGACCCTCCACCGCGCGTCCCGAAAGGCTGTGCGCCCCCAAAACCCCCAAACCCACCCTGCATTCCACCAAGACGCTTTGCGCGCCAGTCTGGCCGGGCTCATTTGACTGCTGGATGCTTCGGGAGTCGGAACGCCGGAAGTTTGCTTGTCCACCATTTCGGGTGTCAAAGTTCCCGATTCCGCTGCCCTCAGCAGCACGTTCCTGGAACGAGAAGCTGGGTCGAGCAAACAAGGTATTCTTATGCCAGACTTGCGCAAACGCAGAAGAGACACTCTCTCTCTCTCTCTCGAGCTCTCTCTCTCTCTCTCTCTCCCACTGTGCCACTGCAGCATCCACTTTGGCTGACTCTGCAAGCTGTCCTTAGCTTGGAGTCCTCTTGCTTCAGGTGGTCTAACACCACCATGCGAAATTGTTCCAACGTCTTGACTGCACAGCAAGTGTACCTCGCATTGGGCTGGACGCATTGCTTGGGGAGAAAGCAACGCGAAATCTTCACAGGGTCTGGCTTGAGCTGCTTCAGCTTTTTGAAATCTCCCGACTTTTTTCGCACCAGACAACACCTCACATGGCTGCCCTTCTGCTCTTTCAAAACCACACCCTCCGTCGGTCAACCCGCCTCCGTGCCCCAGGTCCTCGCCGAAAGGTGCGCAGCCGACGCTTCGGTCGGCACAGCGACGCCAGTTCCAAGGAGTCTCGGGCATGCCAAAGGGGCTTCTGCGCATCTGAGAGGATACCAAAAATGTACCAATATCTGACCTCTCAGCATTTGATGTGTGGACAACTGGTTCCTTCCACCTGACCTTGTGCTATCTGACCTTGTGGCATCATGATTAGCAGTGTTTTTGGGACATCTTCCCGACATGAAAGGTGCTTGCAAAAAAGAAGTTCATGCTTTGCCAGCATGAGCGGCCTTCCGTCGTCGGAAACGATCGATCGCTTCAATGTAGAAGGGCATCTCAACGTTGATATTTGCAGCTGGTCCATCCATACTCCGAGGCCGCCAAGTTTCGATCTCCAACAAGGCTTGGGAATGGCTTTTGCTAAGAGCTCTGATTTCCTCCTCATCTTGATCGAACGCATCATCTTCCAAAGAATCCTGTGTGGAGTCACTATCACTATTCTCATCCTCAACTACCAAGCCTTCCGCTTCGGGATCGGGCTGTGAGGCTTCCTCAGAGGCATCTGAGGCAGCTTCCAATGGAGTCTTCGGTGAATCATCCATCTCAGGAGGAAGTAGGGCAGGTTGTGGCCACTCGTCTCCTTCGGAGCCTCGAGCAAAGAAAATCTCCAAGATCAAGCTCTCTCGGAACTTGGAGTGATCTCCCCCACAATGGCCCAAGTCGTAGATACAAGCAATGCCTGACTTGATGTCCCCCAGAACACTTTCCAGTGGCAAGGGGCTGATGGCTGGAACCTTGAGCAATTCCCAGGTGCAAAGGTCGAGATAGGCAACTCTCCAAACGAAGGTGTATGTACTTGTTGTATCCACCTCCAGCAATCCTGGGCCTGCCCAAGCGATATTTTCCACTTCGTCACTACCCAGTTTGGGCGGCTCTTCACCCTCTGGTGTTCGGTTGAAGCACATCAAAGCACGAATGTGGAAGCCCATGAAGCAGGGGCTGGTCTTGGTGCCTAGGTCGATAACAAATCGGCCACCCGTCTTCTTCTTTGCGAACTTCGCACCCACTGACGCTACATTGGACATGATCCAGCCAAGGTTGAGCTCGCCATCTAGAGTACCACCAGCCCAAATGTTGGTGGAGTTCTCCTGTCCCATGCTGGCGATCTTCTTGAACTTGCCCTGAAACTGAACCATCAAGCCTTTTCTAGGCCCACCCGTCTGCTCAGGTTTCACATTACCAGGTTCATTGCCAGTATCGTGAATGACGTGAAACCGACCTGAGTACGAAAGAACATGATCTGACACTCTGGCCAAGTGCAGGAAAACGAAGAAAACAAAACTAGAAACACTGATTCAACAGAATCTGTTTGTATGGTTTGTTGGCGACTGATCCATCCGACGCATTATACAAGCAACGAAGCAACGTTTGCTCACTGAGGCTGGGGCCTTTAAAACCAGGCGCGTCAAACTCTACTGGTTCTCCATTGATGGTTACTGGGACCTTCTCCCCTGTGACTGTTCCCAGTGACAGGAAGAACGGCCTACTGCGCGAGGACATTCAAGTTATGCAATGGGTCCTCTTGACCTGCATCTGCATAAGGATTTGAGCCACCAAACCCCTCAAATGATGCACATGTTCTGGGGCGTCTTTTGGAATGAAAGTTTATTTCCAAAGACAAATGGAACGAGCAAGAAGAGCAAGAAAAACGGAAGAAGCAGGCACCAAAAAAGGAAAGGAAAGGAAAGGAAAGCAGAGCAAGCAAAGAAAAGGAACAAAAAAAATCGAAACCTATTGAATGCCAATGTCGCCTCACGCACTTCGCGGGGGGTTGACTTTTGACTGCGAAAGACGAAAGGAAGGGTTTTTATCCTCACTCTCAAGCCTGATAAAGTGCCCCCGCCCTCCACATTCCGCTCTATTCTCAATTGTTCCGACCCGGCTCTCTTAAGCGCCGCAACATCTCTCATGCCATGTTGCATGTTCACAAACGGATCCACTTCTGGTGGCTTTGGACCATTCCGGGCAAACTTGCTTCTTGGTTTTTTGCCGTTACGAAACATTGCACCGACATGACAAAACAAAGCAAATCGCAAACTCATCTCTAGTTTCAAGATCATGCGTTTACAATTGACAGCCCCCACAACAAAATAGTATAGTTGTTATTGCAGGAAAGAAACTGCACGAATAAAGAAGTGTACCAACTTGATCGGTTGCGAAGCTGCTTTGTGCCGAGCGTCGAGAAAAGGCAGGTGCGGCGCAGTCATAACCAGCAGGTTATGAGCGCAAGGTCTGAGGTGTAAGACCCAGCTGAGGAGGTCGATCGCTGGGCGGCCCTGCGCAAGCGAAGCCATGAGCCTCCAGAGACGGCGGCGGCGCTTCGCGGGAGAAGATGAAGAAGATCCGGCGGCCGCTGCTGGTGGCTCGGGCTCAGAGGAGCAAGAAGGCCGACAAAGGCCTCGAGGTTCTCAGGAGCTGGGGCCAGTGAGGCTGCTTAGTCCAGAGCAGCTTCATGACCCGGAGCAGCTCAGGAGCCAGGCACCGTTTTGTATGGAGAGAACAATAGTGGTGACTCCAAAGAGATTGTGCTTTCTGGCAAGCCGATCAAGACGGATACCTTCACCTCGAAAAAAAAACCTGGTGATGGGCAGGTGGTTGATACCGAAGAGCAAGGCTAGTTGCGCACTCCTGGGATTCCTGAAGAGCGACAAGAAGAACAGCTTGCGTTGACCAATGGTGGCCCTGAGGACGAGCAGGATGGTCAACATCAAGGAGGTGAACTACGGATGGCACTTCGACCTGGACATCAACAAGGTCAAGGACAGGTGGGGAGCCAAAGGGAGGAACCCTCTTCGACTATGTCACGGGATTCCATGGAGTACCTTATGCTATTGACCCACAGGTAATTATGCAGCAACAAATGTTCACCACAAGGAGCTGAGGGACGAGCTTCGCGATCAGCGCCCTGGATTTGAGACACAGGTCAAGGCTCTGCAGAAGGAGATTGATAATCAAGCGTTCAAGAAACCCAACCTGAAGGCCGAGCTCTCTTCAGCGATGATCCACAGCGGGGTCAAGGCATGGGATGGGTGGAGAGAGAATGGAAGAAGCTGTATGACACTGTATGAGTTGACACCTGTGCAGCAATTTGAGCAACTACAATCGATGATGGGCCAGTCAACTCCGCCTTCGAGAGGAGTACGGGGTAGATCGACTCAAGAACGATCGAGGTCGGACCCGGACCGAAGACCGGAGATGGCTGGAGATCAACTTCAACCGGGATGAAGCCTGGACCTACAACGACGCAGACGACCACAAGGCATCACCAATGCTCAGGAAGGAAAAGGGGCATCAGATCCTTCCACGAGTTCTGGACAAGGAGATGGGAGTGGCATGGTGGACGCCATGACGAAGCTGATCTCCTACCTGGTGGACAATGAGAAGAAGGAAGAGCGGAGCCTGTCAAACCGGGAGCCATGACACTTCCTTCACTTCCGGAGCCTTCGGATACTGCTCCGATCAATCTGGCGGGCTGAAACCGAGTTGATCGAGGTGATTGAAGCAAAGGTTGTGGGGGACAGCATCTCCTGCATGGTGGATGAGATGACTGGAGGAATCGCCAAATACCTGAAGTGCGACAACACAGCGGCAGTGTCGATTGCCAGCTCAGCCACGGGAGCATGGAGAACTGGCCATCTCAATGCGGGAGCTGTTTTTTTTGCTCACGCCTTTTTGCCGCGTGTCACGCCGCGTGTCTGAGGGGGTGAAACGAATCCCCTGCATTTTTGTTTTTCCGCAGGACGGGGGGGTGAGACGAAACCCTGTTTTATACTGGCCAGGGTCCAGCTGTGCTTAGCCCACGGTGGTGGAGGAGGGCAGGCGGCTGGGAGCGGGCGCACCGTCTGTGTAAGAAGTCAAGAGCTCACAGATCGGCGGGCAGGGTCCGAAGTCCAAGCGATGGTAGCGGCGTTGCGTAAGTTTGGGGGGCTTGCTGCTGCCCTGTGTTTTGCCAAAAGTTTGATGAAAGTTGTGGGTTCTCGGCTCCAACGCCCCCCGATCTCAAGTCCCAGGACGGCTAGGCGAGAGCGACCATGTCCCAACAGTTCGGGGTAGGTCCGTTCTTTGGCACCTTGGCATTGGCCCTGGTGCCTTCGGGGCTGGCCCGTTGTGGTGAGCGGGCACACCAGAGTAGTGTCGACCGCGAGCTGGGAGCCATTCCAAAGGGGAAGGCCATTTGCTATCACCTCTATCCGCCGTTCATCATGGCGGGTGGCTCCGGTATATTCAAGTCTCGGACTAAGACGTTGGTACTCACAAGGGCCCCAGCCTCTCTGCAGATTCGGGCCGCTGCACGTTCCAAACCGAAGCCTCGGACCCGCAATGCTCCGGATCTGGGGCAAGCAGCCCTGTGATCGCCTAATGGGTCCAGCGGCTGTTGACATCGGCAGCGCGCTGGCAGGGCAAGGGCAGTCGAAGACGCCGGAGGAGCAGAAGGCGGAAGTGGGACGAATCCAAGACGAGCTCATGGGAGACAGGGAACAGGGTGAAAATTCTGGCCGCCAATGGCCCGCACTGGGATTCCAAAAGAGCTTGTGAGGGAGCGGTGAGATGGGCGATGTGTTCCTGTTTGAGAGCTGTGTCGGTGATGTGGGAGGCGTGTCGTTGCCATCCTCGGAGGGTGTCTGCGTGGTCATGGGGTGAGGTTGGAGCCGGTGGTGCTGGCTGGCATTGGGTGCAGGGCGGGGCGTCTACCTCCAAGCTTGTGAGAAAAGCCGTGACGTGTTGCAGGCATTGGAGGGATGGTAGCTCTGGGTTCTCGATCTGCTGTTGGATCGTGTCAAAAACCTGTGGCATTTTCTGGCGGAGGACAGGTGTGGCGTCCTGCCATGAGGCCCAGTGGGCGGCTGCGGTGTGAGCATGCGCGCTGCGAAGCCCCAACCCACCTTGTTGCAGGGCGAGGCGGGCTGTGTCGATGGCTGGCCGGGGCAGTTCGTTGTTGGGCTGTTGCAGCAACCGTGCTAAACATGTGTGCACTGCGTTGTCGTGTTCTGTGGCAAAATGCCTGGTGAGGTCAGGGCGGACCCCGCGCAGGGCGTAATGGACGCGGGGCGACGCGCAGTACAAAAGGAGCAACCAACTGGTTTGGAAGTCTGGGATGCCGGGCCGGGCTTCAAACAATGGTTGTTGTTTCGCCTGAAGCTGACGGAGCTCTGCTTGGATGTACTCCATGCTGCCGACTGGGAGGCCCAGGACCTTGAGCCCTTGCTGGTGTGGTGGCAGGTGGGCGTCGCCGAGCCAAACCGCTGCCGTGGAGGCAAGGTCTCTGACGTTGGGCGGCTCGGTGCCGGCACCATTCCAGATTTGTGTTTTGCCGGCATGGAGGCGTATGCCTGTGTGCAGTGCAAGGCATTGGGCCAAAGTGTTGTAGAGTTGGCGGATGCGGGCAGGCTGCGCTGTGACGTAAATGTCGTCCAAGAAGGCGGCTACGTGCTCGCCTGGTTGGAGGCTGCTGTGGAAGGCTTGCAGGGCCCAGTTCAAGGCCAACGAAAAGAGCGCTGGCATTAGCGGGTCGCCTTGTTCCCCTCCCTCGGCCTGGTGGATGCGGTGCGTGTGGCCCGCGTGATCGGTCCACAAGTATGTGGACGGCTGGCTGTAAAAGAGTCTGGCAAAAGGGAGGGCGGCATTGGCTTCGGGGGTGGCTTGCAGCGCAGTCAGCATGGCGGCTCTGCTGACATGGTCGTATGCACCTATGCCATCCACTGACCAAATGGTCAGTTGTGGGTCTGCCTCCGTTGTGAGTTGCAGGCCGTGGACCAAGGCTTCAGCGCCGGCCCTGGTGGAGAGGGCGAATTGGTGGGGATGGCATTCGTGGTCGAACTGGCTAGCGAAATGTTGTGCCAAGGAGCGTGCTACCAATCGTCTTAGAAAGTCTCCTACCACGAGGCCTCGAACCCCCCCCCCCGACTAACCGTCCCATGCCAAGGGCTGTGGCGATGATTGGGGGGATGTTGGCCTGGGCTAAGCGGCAGCAGACTTGGCTGAATGCTTGGGTGGCTGCTGGGTCGTCCAGCAGGACTTTTGCGATCTCAGCTGTGAGCCCGCTGGGCCCGGGGGCTCCACGGCGGGCCCGCCGCAGGTTAGTAGTGAAAAGGTGTGGTGGCACTTGGACCGGGTTGGCTGGGCGCCATTGCAGGATGGCCGGGCCGATCGGGGCATAGGGCTGCTGCGGTCGGGCTTCTGGGTTGGTGAGCTGCTGCAGGGTGTTCTGGGTTCCGGGTGCGAGTGGCTGGGACAGTAAGGCTTGCCTGGCCCGGGATAATTCCCCCAGCCGTGTGAGGTGTATGGCCCGTTGTGCGCGGTTTTCGGTGCTGCTGGCAGGTGCTTGGGCGGGGGGAGTTGCTTGGGTGGTGCTTTCGCTGTCTTGTAGCAGCTGGTCCCACTCACCACTGAAGAAAAGGTGGAATCTCGCCATGGAGCTGCGGCTTGGGGATGGGGGTGTTCCCCCGCGGCTTGTGGAGGAGCATACGAGGCAAGTAAAGCCACAGTTGCCAAGCGTGAAC